AGAGAGTCGACGTTAGGATGGTGCACTTGGTCGGGTGTCGGCTAATGACTCGAGCTTTCATCTTCTCTGATGGAAACGTTACGGTTCGCTAGAACGAAAGCGTCGTAGATTGCTTCATCGGTTTATTAATAGACCGGTATGGTTCTCCAAATCTGAATATCTATATTCCACAATCTTCGGAATTTTTGCTGTCCAAAACGGGTTGAATGGTCGTGTAACGTGTTATAAATAGGTTTTTTGGTACTACGAAGCGTCATAAATAATTTCGTCAGTTTATTAGTAAATCTGAATACGTTTTAAAGTTTTAGGGCTGTTTGTTTAGTTTCGAATCGTTTCGAGTGCTTTTGTAACATGTTACAGATGGGGATGTTGACGATATGAAACTTTGTAGATTATTGTATCTACGTTTTAGAGTTATTGAATTCATCTGGACTTGAAACATACCAAATGCCTGTGTAACACGTTACAAATGAGAATTTTGACGATACGAGCATCCTTGGAAATCCAAAGATCTACATTTTAGAATTTTCGGAATCTTTGTGAACTCGAAAGACATCGGATAACTTTGTAACATGACCCAAATTGGAGAACTTAAATAAGGCGTAAACTCTATAGATTATCTTATCTATTTCTTAATAAATCTCTATTCTTCTTGAAATCTGAGTAAATATGAATCTTCGTAGTCTCGAAAACCATGGAACAATTGTGTAACGTGTTACAGATGGGAATCTCGGTGATACAAAGCGCTGTTCGATATCCCACCTCGGCTGATCGGGTCAGGTCGAGAAGCCAAAGTGAATAACCCGCAAAAGCCGATCCGGCTGATGATCATGAAGATTAATCTCGGTTCACCGCAACACGCCAGTGTTGTTGCTCCTTTTCATTTTTCATTCCATCGGTACGACGACGTTGCCCGTGTCTCTTTTCCGTTTCCCCCCGTCGTTGCTGTTGATGCGTGTTGAATCGTCGGTCTTTCTCACGCATGTACAATATACACTCGTATGCACACGCACGTGCTACTCCGCCGATTGCACGCCGCCTCTCCACCTTCTCCCTCGACCTGTCTTCTTCCACCTCCGGTTCTCCTCCTTCCCCTCTTCCTCCTCCTCCTCTTCTTCTTCTTCTTTTCTATCCTCTTGCCAGTTCTTTTTCATCTTTGCCTCGCCTCGCCCGTTCGGGTCGTGCTCTCTTCACCGCCGTCGATCCTCGACGCTTGCTCTTCCGCGTTCTTCTAACCTGCCAATCGTGCGCTTTCGACGAATACGTCCAGAGGTAATGGACTACCGATCGGCACACACTCGCTCGGTCATCTTCCTGCTGCTAAGCGGAATCGTAATCGCGACTGAAAACTTTTTGCCAGACTATGCTGCGAATACGATTCGAGAAGAGTAATGATGATCGCCCTGTTGGGCATCATCAGACCTTTCGTTATTGTTACTTACTTATCGATGAGAAGATGTTGTCTTTTAGGCCGTCCTTTTGTGGCAAGGTGATTTATATATGTCGCTATTAATAGTTAAGCTGAGCGCAGATCGATTTTACAATGGTAATGTTGTACGTATGACTTGATAAATTAATATTTACTATGATTCAATGCACAGCAGAGTGCAGTTGTGTTATTAGGAATATGTATAATACTCGATGGTTTATGGTTTTAATAACCATAATAATAATTATAAATGATGCAAGTTGGACGCGATTCACGTCATTGATGTAAGAAGATCCCAAAGTAGGATCACTCCAAATTTCTGATATTTTTCAATCTTTTTCATGCGTCTGTACGATTGTGATTAGAAATTATAGTTAGAATATGCGTGTATGATTATAGTCAGCAATTATAATATTATAGTAAGAAGAATTAAATTTCTACAAGTGGCAGAATCCAATCAACAGGGATTATAGCTATATCGATGCTCGCTGGGGAATATAAATTCATCAAATCTCACAGCATCGCCATTATAAAATCGCATCAACTTGAAGGACGCGTAAGCTCGCTCCGATTCCCCTATTGCATTTGCTAAATCTTCTGCTCACTGTCGGGACGATGGCCCCTTATCACTCTCGCAGGCGACCTCGCTTATTTTTCTCGAACAATGAGTTTCATTGAGGAAACAGCCCGTCCGCTCCAGCCAGAGTACGTCCTGCGTGTTTTTATTATACTGAAGATCGACGCAGATAGAGCTAATAAATGTGACGAGAGGCTCGAGATTCGAGGGAATCGTGTGAATGGAGCTTTGTTACGAACGCAAACTTGTAGATCACCCGAGACAGATATATTCGTCCTAATGAAAATCAGTTAACGAGTCTGTCGACTCGGAACGTCTTCGGGCTTGTCTCTAGATCAGGATTTCTCAAACTTTTATGAGTTAAGATCCACTTCTGAAAGCGGTAATTTTCCGCCACCCAGTCAGAGATTGCACGAACTCTAATTTCTGTCGAGAGTTGATTAATATGGAATTTAAATTTAACTTGGATCCGTGAGCCAAGAGAAATTGACCAAAAATATAACATATTTGTGATCCTTCGTGTTTCTACACAACGTGTTGTCTAATCATCGTGAAAGTTAAAAATTTGTGATAGATGTAAATAGTAATTGTCGCGTGATTTTTATCTCTATCGACTTGGAATTGTTCATCTGACAATTCTTGGTGAGTAGAAATCTCCTAACGAGGAGCTACTCTCATATTTTAATACTTAACGCGACCCTCATTTTAGGAATCCGTGTTATAGTTCGATAAGCGTTCGATATAGCTCGTCAAGCGATACATATTTCTTACTGTCGACGCCTATTTCGCCTGCTTGTCTCAGATCTCACGATTTCCTCTCTTACCTCTCTGATTCGCGCGCGTGACACTTGGCTCACGTGCACGAGCGTCTTAAAAAGAACGTGCACAGTCGAGAGAATAATTTTACAACGAGGGAAATGCCTGGCTGGCATATTAATTTCGCGTGACAGACGTTCCTCGTGCTTTCCTCCTTCCGAATCCATGAAAAGTCAAAGAAAGGAATATTTATTAACTCGTTTTGGCTTCTGTCAACTTGGTCGAGCGAAAACTACCTTTGTTTTTGCTCCCTTATCCATCATTTCAGATAGTTTGTTGAAGAATCGGTCGGTGATTCGTTAGGGAGACGTCAGCATTTTCTGAATAATGCATGAGCGGTGGCGCTGGATACGCTTGAAATAATAACAGGAAAATTGCACTGGCGTCAAACGCGCAACTTAAAATCGGTAAAAATATCTCGACCGATATATCTCGACGTAGGAATATATTTACAAGCGTTTGAATGGCTACCTTTTTCGTCGAAACTAGATAGAAATTAACAGGCGGAGGTGAACACAAAACACAGCGATACTATTAGTGAAATGGAAGGCACGTTTCTCGATGCTACGCGCGAGGCATCGGTTTAGAAAAAGAAGAGGAACGGCTGGTGAATAATTAGCCAGGTCTTCCCCCGCGTGAAACGAGTAATTAAGAGGAAAAGGTGATTTATCGTTGGCGTAGCCGCCGTACGCGACAGGCAGCCAGGCCATGGTGTCTCGATGGTTTAAGAAGCATCGTGTGTTGGTACGCGAGCTCTGCCGCGGAACATCCACGCACGTCGTCGTTTTTGTCCGGACGCCTCACTGCTCGTAAAATTTCAAGTCGTCTCGTTGCCAGAGTCGTCACTTTTACGGTCAATGAAATTCTTCTTTTGCTCCTTTTTTCCTCGGACGTTACACAGCGAGTTTAATTTACGATCTGCCAGGTGGCTAGCTTAGGGGACTAGTTTCGTTCTTTCTAGCTTTTTCTCGAGAGAGAAAACGTTTCAACTGATAGACGAGGTCATGGCTGCCGAACCGCTTTTTCCTCTTTTTAGATCGCGCGACTTGCTAGCCAGTGATGGATTGTCTTTTAAGCTGACACGGGTCGGAGATACGTCGCGAGATCCGCTAGTCTTTGATATTCTCCAGGCGTCTTCTATGCGACCGTACCGCGTACCGGAACTCCAGACACCGCTCTGCTCTGTCTTCCGTCCGCCAGGCTTTTAGCCCCTTTACATTTATGGAAAGCGTATCTCGCCAAGCGTGGATGAGATATCTCGCGTGTACTTACATTAAGATGCACAATGGCGAGTATGTAAATGGGAAAAGTTCTTGTATCCAATTCAACTTAACTTAGTTTGTACTTTTTACTCGAAATGAACATTTGGAAGTTTTATATTTATAGCACTTCAAAGTACGAGAAATTTAATTGTAGATTTTATATCATGGGGAGAAATATATTAGGTTGTCCCAAAAGCTTCTTTTGTTTCATAAGGATGCACAACATTTGTTGTTTTATATTATTTTATTGAATTTTGTATAGTCCATTTTGTAGTAATAGGACAACAGGGGTTAACAAACGAACGGTTAATATTAAAAAGTTCTTCCTCAATCATGTTCTTTTATTTATAACCTTACTATATAAAATAAAGTATTTTGAACTAATTATCTATTGAGATAATCCATCTATGCAAAGTTCTGGAAACAGTTGACTATCGTCTTAATTTTTGCTGCAGTATACTGCCAACTTTGACGTTCCAGCATGTGGTTATCAAATACTCGTAACAGCATGTCATACTTCTAAAATCAATTTGGTTTTCATCACCCTTATACATGAAACATGCATTCACAAACATTTGAAAACGAACACGTGAAATATGAGAAATATCGCAAATATATTACCCATAAATGCAAAGAAGTTAGTTCGAAAGTCTCGTAAAAGGAAGATTCATAGCGGTGGCTGCCGTTCTGATCCGCAGATACGAGATTTAATAAACGCGTAATTACAGCGTAAATCACGAGACTCTTTTCATTCATTTTATTACGTTTTTGTCGACAACCATAAGATGGTCCACCGCGTACTTTTCCAATTACGCTATAATCTTTCAAATCCTCTCGAAGTCAGGTTTTTACGCAACGATATGAATATTTACAGCGGTTCATTTGAAATTGTGATTGACCATTCTTTTCGTTTCAGATTGCTGAGCTGCACGCTGCTGCTCCTTTCGGCCGCCATCGTCGTAATCGCATCCGAGCAAGCGGTGTCCAACTTCGAGACAGTTCACACGAGCAACGCGGCGATCTTGAATCGGCTCGGTCTCGCGCCGCTTCAGATCCCCGATGGACACCATAAGAAACGTCTTGCTGGTCCCGAGCCGCCTGGACTCGGCTCCCAGACACGGATCCACCAACCTTACAGCCGTCGACACGGGCATAGAGACAGCCACGTCTACATCGTGAAGCTTCCTGCCAGTCCGCCGTACTACACGATCACGAAACCGCACAAAACGGCGAAAGACGACAAGATAACCAAGACTGGGCCGAATTTCCCCGTAGGATTTCAAGGAAACGGGAAACCAGCGAAGATCTATCACTGGAATCTTCCTGTCGTGAAGAAGATCGGCGAGAAGAAGAGACTGTACTCTCAGCTGAAGCTGGAGCAGGCTAAGAAGAAGATGGACGTCACCAAGAAGTATCAGAACTCGAAGAATTTTGTAGAGACTCGGGGCAGTTCGAAGATCAGTCAGGATCTTCCTCGTCAAGAGAATAAGAAATATTTTGATAATAACAACGATAAGATTAACGTTCGTCAAAGTAGTGACAGTCCATCGAAACACGTAAGAAACAATGATAAGAGGCTCAACTATCCCGATCACGAAGAGAAGAAAAACGAATCGACGAAGAAAAACGAATCAACGAAGAAAAGCAGCACCAACTTAAGTAACAAGACCTACAGGCTGGATGATTCAGGCGTGCACAGGATTCACCTGACGAACGAACTTCACGGCTCGAGGAACACGGCAAAGGTGAAGAAACACCGGAAGAAGGCAGCCATGTCGTACTACGCGCCAATCACCGGCAAGTCCGGCTCCACGAGCATCCACAAGAACTTCCCCGGAAATGGAAAACCGAAGGCGTTCTACGTGATGGAGAAGAGTCGCAAGCCCGTCTACTATCATCCCTTGTTACCTTAATCTCTCGTCGCGGCGCTAAGAATCTGTGTAATCACGTGTTAACGGCCCCTGAGCTTGTTAACTTATGTTAGTCGCGACTTCGCGATGAAACAAGAGCAAGGGCCGTCGTTTCGTAGGACGATGACAAAATTTTCAAAGGACTGAGAGAGTAAGAATGATCAAGAATGCGTGTGTGAGAGAAAAAGAACGAGGGATGTTCGGATGGAGTCGTCCTTGCTCGAAGCCACGCGTATCCTGCAAAAACCGTTCCACTTTTGTTACAGTTGTTAGAAGTATTAGATTAGGTTTCCCGAGACTTTCTTTGGAAAGGTGGACTTAAATTTAGGATAGTTTAAGAAAATTTTTGCAAATGCCTGCGACTGAGTTCGGTGGTACGCTCAGAGATCTAGATTAAGTCCAGGGAAGTGATCGCTGGCGCTTCTTCCTCTTTCACGAGCCAAGCACCGACGATCGCTTCCTGTCGCTACGTTTAACTTGTATAATATATTTTTATAAGTTTTAACAGATACTTTTTCTATCGTATCGTCGATGTGTGCCGTTTTTTACAACAAAGGAATAAGCCATCATGACTGGTTGTCTTATGAGATACGTAAAAATTATGTTAACAATGGAAACAATAGAATAATGAATTTGCAGTCTCGTAAAGCAATCGGTCACGAGCGAATTTTTACGAAAGACTGGACAATATACCTATATATACCCCTCTCGATGGGATGCACATGCCTTTTACTACGTATAATCGCGCAAGGATTTTTACTGGTTCTTTTTTTTTCTTTTTCTTTAATAATGAATTGCAGAGGCGCGAGAGCAGCAGACATTTTTTATATTCTTATATCGTATGTTATAGGAGGAAGCTCAATTGTATCGAACCATGGCATTCAGTGTAGTGTAATAAAAGTATTTATAGTACTTTGTACAAGAATGCGTTGGCTGTTGTGTGTGCCCGTTGAGAAAGAAGCAAAAGAAGAAAATCAGCGAAGAATAGTACTGTTTATGCCGCGAGTGTCAGCCGTTTAGATTCTTGCTTAGAATGAGAACCGCTCTTAACCCGTTACAGCACATTTGCGATAGTATCGAGCCAACAACGAACCCTTTGCCCCGAGGGCCACATTTTTTGATAATTGACCATCTAACTTTGAAATGACCAGAGTGCCTATCTTCCTTCGTCCAACATCTCTTTTTTTTCTCTCAAACCCTTTAACCAACGTCTTGTTTGTCATCCGTGACGAGAATTAGCCCCTCGTATTCTGATCTAAGAATCATTTAGCGGCTCGTCGCAAAAAATTAGTTTATCCATAGGTAATATCATTTCGAACAAATAGAAAGGTTTAAAAACGACAGATCGTTTATTTCAATGTAAAAGCTTTAACGTGTTACGTGCGTATTTTTTAAACGATATGTTCTCCGCAAATAGGAAATTTATTTGAGGAAAGATACGCGAATTCCTGGAAATATCATTGAGGGAAATCGCGAGATTGTATTGAAATTCCATTTGAAGCCGGCTTTTCCGGGATGTCTGGCGGTGGTGTTATCGCGATCTTTGAATTCAATCTCTTTGAGCAAGTAGCATAGATCGCGAGGCATCCCCGTAACCAGACAGGATATAATCCCGAGTAGACTCGCGTCCCAAGTCAATATTTGTGCTACGTGAGAAGGGGAAACATATGAAACGCGTTTTCTGGTCGACGCAGCCGACTGGTAAGAATTCTCGAAGAACACCAACGTTCCGCTTTCTTTGGTAAAAAGATAGAGAAAATGAAAATTATCGATTGGAACTTTCGTATATTTTTCACGTATTTACAAAGTAAAAAAAGGAGGAAATTTGTGTAAAAAAAGTTTAGTGATAACGGCATATAAATTACGACTTTACAAATAAATATATGCGATTAAGTACATTATGTTATAATACTAAATGCTTCGTGATATCATGGTTTCACTCAAGATATAAAACAATGGATAGTTATATATTAAATTACCCTAAATGGTGCTTGAGCAAATAGTCATCATGATTTCTTCTGCATAATCAGCTAGCTATATATAAATTATATATACGCATTTTTTAACTGATTAACGTATAGATAGACGCATATAAGTATTGATACTCTATAAATAGAAACTATACACTTAAGAGTAACAATTAAAATTATACATCTACTCGCAATAGAGTCTGTATCTCGAGCAACCACAGCGATACGTCTTAATTATGCAGAGTGGAATCAATACCAGCATACTGAATTAACGCAACATGAAAATCAGAAGATATTTAACTGCAAAAATGAAAAACTTCACGGCTGTTACGTTTACGTTTCTCACTACGTCGTTTTATCTTCCACACTGGTCTTTATCGTTCATTTCTCGTTTACCATACAGGGATATTTCTCCTCGATCTCTTCCCCTCTACTTTAAAACGCACTTCCACCACTGTACCTTGTACAATCAAGGCATCGAACTTGAAAGCAACGTATAAGGAGAAAAAAAAGATACAAATCTCTACTAAAGAGATCGTATTAGCTACGCCAACGACGTCCATCATCGACGTGATGAAATTTTTTAACAGTCCGTCTTAGGGAACTGGCTCCACGGTTCCCACATAATCATACGCGTAATAACCTATACTCTTAGATGTAAATGTAACACAGTATAAATCACTAGTCAGCCTGTGTAACTTCTATATCAAAGCCGTAAATACGAAAGCTTGTCGCTGTACGAATATACATGTTTCAAATCCCGTTCAGACCGGTCAAGTTTCTTGAATTCAGGCGATTCAATGAATAAAGAACAAGCTTAGAAACTTGAAAGAACATTTCAAGAAGGTATACTATCTTGAAGAAGCTACGGATAAGTTTGAGAATCTTTTCACAAATAACTACAAAATGAAGAATTTAGATCTTGTAGGATAACATTGACATAGACCTATTTTCTAATTTTTGACGACGCGGAGATTTCATAACGATCGAGTGAAAAATATAATTTCGAGAAAAACGTTAACAGAGCTTTCAAGATAATCCATTCGTTCTAGTAACATAAGTCAGTAGTATGACGCGTTAACGCGATATTTCAACACCGTAAGAAAATTAAAAACGAGGCTTTGATTTCTGAAAGTCCGATAGTATACCCCCTGAAATCTAGCATGCTGCAAGTTCAGTCAAGGAAAACAACTTCAAGTTGCCTGAATTCAGATAAATGCACTAATCTGAACGAAGCGTAAGCGCGAGTGTAATTTCTAAGCGATCGAGCATCACGATTCTCTGGCACTCGCAGTTATACGATTCGAACGAGAATGGCGAATCGATTCCTCTCTCGTTTCACATTTCTCGTGCATACGCTCGTCGCTTCTCATCTCTTTCGCTCGAATCCATCATCATCCGGCAATCAAACCGACGATTTGTAGGATTCGAGGTAGCCGTGGTTCGTTCCACGTTTCGGTAGCAACTAACTGCCCCGTGTCTTCAATAGTAGGAATTATCTTGCCGGTAGTCGGGGTACCGGAAAGCCTGACGTGCCCCTGCGGTTCCATCAGACTTCAACAGAAAGAAACTGGTAGGCTTGCCATTAAACGTGTACGGGCCCTTGTCCAACTTGTTGACCAAATCGTCCGCTGGTTTCTTGGTCGGCTTTAAATTGCCCTGCCATTGATAAATCGATGTTGGTTTCCCATTGCTCACAAAGTCCGCCGAAACGCTGTCCAGATTGGTGATTGGGCTGTCCGTTGGTTTCTTGTTCGTCTTCTTTTGCCATTGGTAGACCGACGTCGGTTTCCCGTTGCTCACAAAATCGATGGGCAGCTTGATGAACGGGTTAACGGGTTGCTGGTAGTTTGGTTTCGGCCTTCCGGGTCTCGTGTACGGGACATGCGGCCGAAGGCTGGCTGTGGAGTAAGTGGGCGGTTGCGAGATATAGCCTAAACCTGGCACGAACATGTACGGCGTGGGTGGTAGCCTGATGTAAAAGATGTTGCTTTCCTCGTATCTATTCGGATCCGACATGGTTCTTTCTTCGGTATCGAAGTTGTTGCTGGGATAATCGATGTCGTAGGGGACGTTAGAAAATGGAAGCTGTGAAACGAGAGGATAATTGACGAAGATGGCTTTATGCTTCCGATTCTTCTTAGTTGCTTTGACTTCGTTGGATTGCTTTGAGAAACGGCCAACCTCAAGCTTGCCTTGATTATTATCTTGAATCGAGGCTAGCAACGAGGATTTCGAATCTTTCGTTCCACTGTCGGTCTTCTCTGATTGCTTTTTTGTCGACTGATTCGTCGCGTCCTTGCCGGTGACAATCCCGGGTTCCGTGGAAACTGGAACCGCGTCCTTGTTCCGAGGGAACAATCGAGCGTCATTCAGGGTGTCTTGGAGCGGCACCGCCGCCGCCGATGCCATCGCGCAAACCAATAAAGTAGCCGAGATCTTCATGATGACTGGAAAAAACCAAACGATTTCATTGTTTTTACCTTGAACAACTAGCACAATTTGTTGAAAAAATATGCTTACAAAGCAAATTTAATAAGAAATATCCATGGAAAATGTCTAAAAAGTCATCATCGCATGTGTTATATAAGTATATGTTAAAACAAAACTGAAAAATGATGATTTGATTTATCAAATGATAAAATGATATAATGAAACACTGAAATGATATAAAATGATATAAATGATATGACAAAATATCTGAAAAATCATTTTCGCATCTGTTATTGGAAAATTTACGCTCAAAATATACGTCAGAGAACGTCTGTTCGATTCTCATTGCCAAACGATCGTTCGATACAGCTATTGGAAGAAGAGGCATTGGAACTACATCAACTATTCACCAAGCATCGAGGAAAGGCACGTATAATCCGGCTTATGAGTACTTACGAGTTGCCTCATTCTCGAGCAGAAAATCTGATTAAGTTATTATCCCTGAATACTTTTTCGCTCTTAAAATATCGCGCTGAGCCTTTCATGCGGGCAACCTTTCCAACAGTAGATACAGTCGTCACAAACTCGCATCCTAAGAGCACGCGTTACCTCCGAATTAAATCGACTAATCGTTTATTTGGCGGGTTAACGCGACAAGCGGATGACATTAAGCATGCAAAACGCGATCCCGCTGAAAGATAGGGTGGATGCGAGCGAATCATCGGC